GCGAAAACCTCTTCCGCATACCATTACACCATCGACTTGCCATCGGGGGGCCGATTGATTTCCCAAGATGGCTAACGGGTTCGTCAATTCCGGACACTCTGACACGGAGCCGCCGCGGCGTCTCGGGGTACACACATGCTAACGGTCGTTTGTTTTTCAGGTTGGGATCCGTCTTTCGCTCCTTCTGGCATACCATGACCAGCTATGACAGACGTGAGTTTTTTTTTTCTTTCTTTTTTTCTCTTTCCCGCCCTGCCTCTTCAACCGCTGACGCGATGACCGGTTAGATTCCACATACGATTCACCGTACCGAACGGGACGACACGTTCCGCTTGGCCAGCATGGCGACCTGACTTCGGTGGCCACGGCCTCGGAATCGCGAGCTGGCATGGCCCACTACCACGATGAGAACGCTCGCCAACCCATGTTCGACACTGGATACGGCGGTTCGGGGACGGGGCCGCAAAATGGGCCACCGATGAGCCCGGGAGGAGGAAGGCCGTATTCCCCGGGGCTGCGTTCCCAGAACCAACGGCAGCCAAGTTCGGGTGATGACTTCGAGACGCAGAGCCCCGCCGGCGTGATTCCCTTGCAATCCTTCCAGGACGGCATGCCACCCGCGCCGTCGGTCCAGAGCTCGTGGCACAAGATCAACACGTGGGCCGAGGAGAACTACCCAGAGCTCTTCGACCAGCTCTGCGAGGGGTGCACGACCAACGACCTGAACGAGTTGGAGCACATGCTGGATTGCTCCCTTCCACAAGACGTTAGGGATTCCCTGCAGGTGCACGACGGGCAGGAGCGCGGCGGCAACCCCACAGGTATCATCTTCGGCTCGATGCTGCTCGACTGCGAGGAGATTGTCCAGGAGTGGCAAAACTGGAGAAAGGTGAACCAAGAGTTTCTGAGCGAGGTCGCCGTCTCCCGACCCCCGCCTCCCCCCCAAAGGCCCAAGGAGGCAGCAGCAGCGAAGCCTCGTCTTCGAGGACGCCCGCGAGCCCGAGCCCGAGCTCCCGCACCTCCAACTGGCGCCAAGATTTACTGGCCAAGCAGGACTGCGTACCTCCTGCGTCTATCAGGCGCGCCTATGCACATCCGGCGTGGATTCCCCTGGTCCGTGACTGGGGCGGCAACAACTTGGCGGTGGATCTCGCGCCCGGACCCCGAGGCGTCTGGGGCCAGATCATTCTGTTTGGCCGCGACTATGACACCAAGTACGTGGTGGCCCGCTCGTGGGAATCTTTCCTCGCCATCGTGGCGGATGACCTGGGCAGCGGGCGGTGGTTCGTGGAGGAGGACTCGGGCGAGCTCAAGCTGCGCGAGTTCAAGAACTCGCGCGTCGAACCGGCCTACTTTAACATCTTGCGGTGGAGGATGGACCAGAAGTACGGGCGGACGGCGAACAAGAGGAGATCGATGGCGCCCGGAGCCGTCTCGCCGACGGGATCCCAGTCGCCCTACGCCAGCCCGACGGACGGAGGCGAAGTCCGGGGTCGGTCTCTGCAACGCCTCAGCAACATCTCGCCCATCCCCAGCCCGATCCGCCCTGGTTACGGAAAGCCGAGTCCCCTGGCACGGGTGACGGAGGAAGGGGGGATCGCAACGCTGGGGCTCAAGATTCCCAACAACCTGCCGCCCCGCGAGAAGCTGGTCGAGGTCGACACGCCCCGCCCGAGCGGAGAGCTGGACAAGGAGAACATGGCGGCGCCGAGACTCGCAGCGCTGACGAACGGCGTCACGTCCACGGCCGAGACGACGATACTCGGATCCCCGCCCCGAAGCCATGCCGAGGGCAAGAAGCCCATGGCGATTGAGGAGCCGATGAAGACGATTGAGATCTGAAGGACGCGACGACGACGGCGATGAGCGACGGGACGGGGATCCGTGGGAAGGGCGGGCTATACATGGGGCGACGGCGTTTCGGGCGATTTGACATCTCGACGATTTCGAGGTTTGCACATGGCACACAGCATTGGGCATTTTGCACTTTTCGCCTTGGCCTGCATCTTTGATGGCTCGGCGCATCAGGCACCACGTGACTTTGACGTGGTGAGGAGGCGCGTCGGTGCGGATGGCTGAGCAGGAGGGGCAGGCGTTCAATTATTGTACCAATACGATTTGTCTATTATTTAATTCGACAGAGGCCATTGCAGAGAACGGCTTGCGGTGGGACGAGTCTACATCTTGTGTGGCTCGGTTGGCTCGAAGGATGGGCGAGAGTTGTGACCTTGAGGTAGAAAGCCGTTGATGACCTGCCGATGGGGCTTTCGTTTGATGACTGACAATACTGGTATCTTGCTCACTGGCCTGGCGTCATGTCGGAGTCTGGTGTCGTCCGCTGGGGGTCTTTGGAGGCAGCGGAAGGGAGGCGTTTCGGTGGCTCCATACCTAGGTAGCCTTGCATTTCTAGTAGTAATGGGATACATAGATCAAGCAAGCATTTTTATCTCGTCCTCATTGAATCCATCATGCAAGTTTAGGGAATTCCATGCGTCTATTCCATTTCAATGTTTTGTTTGAACTGAACCTCCCGAGCCCGTGTCACGTGTCTCTTCATCGCGCCAAGCTCGCTGCGGCTAGCGTCTCCACCAGGCAGACCCCGGTCCACGCGGGTGCACCCAGCCGCGCCAGCGTCATCCGCAACCGTTCCCCCTTCTCCCGCAACGACGACGACGACGGACCACCCCGACGACTCTTGCTATCGTGCCCTATAACCTACCACGAGATCTTCCGCTCCTACCGCCTTCCTCGAGCCCCATCCTCTCCGAACCTCGCGATCGATCCCCCCCCCCATCCACCAAGCAACAACCGCGCGCACCCTCTCCCCAACCACCACCCCCCAACTTTCACAATGGACACCGAAGAGCGCCTCTTCAAGTTCCGCATGCCCCAATGGCTTAACAGCGTCTGGGCGCGCAACGCAGGCGTCTACGCTGCCGGCGGCCTCGTAAACTTCCCCCCACCCCTCTCCCTCGCCCCCGTCCCCCCTAAACAACCCTAACTAACCTCCCCCCCTTTGTTAGTTCTCCGCAGCATTCTACATCCTCCTCGACGCCGCCGTCTGGTCCAAATCCGCGCGCAACGCTTCCGACGTGCACGTCACCTTTGTCGACTGGCTGCCCTTCATCTTCAGCTCGCTGGGCATGCTCATCATCAACAGCGTCGAGAAGACGCGGCTGTCGGGGGATAGCTTTAGCTACAGCGGCAGCGGGGTGGCGTGGAAGGCGCGGGTGGTGCTGTTCTTGGGGTTCGCGGCGCTGGCGGGCGGGATGGCGGGCGGGGTGACGGTTTTTGTGCTGGGGTTCGTGGTGCCCGGGGTGGCGTGGCCGGCGATGGGGATGGGGGTGGAGAATGTGGTGGCGAATGCGTTAGTGGGGCTGAGGTAAGTCTTTTGTTCCTTTTATGTTTTTGTTGTGGTGTTGAGGGTGGTGCTAACGGGTGGATAGTACGGTGGTGTTGTGGGTGAGCCAGAATATGGAGGATGAGTATGCGTATAACTTGGCTCTGTGAGGGGTGGGCGGGTGGTTTGGACGAGGAGGGGGGCGACGGGGTTACTTTGGGTGGCGGAGGGGAGGGGAGGTTGTGGCAAGCTTGACGGGGTGCGGTTTGAGCGAGGGGGGCTGCGACGTGGAACTCCCGTCGTATATGGCGACGCCCCCTATGTGTATTCGGTGGGGACGTGGTGTGTCGAGGAAGCGAAGGAAGCATTACCTTTGTATCATACTTTTTGGAGGGGAATCGGAGGCGCTCATTGCATGGTTGAAGCGGGTGTCCCCTTGACTTACTGACAGCAGTACCGACTTGTGTCAACAGTCACGTGTCTCCAGAGCCGGCATCGACTTACAGATTTCTAAATTAGTAGAAATAATTTGCTGATCTTCTAACAGGATCCCGAGTTATACTAGCCATCTTAGGGGTCAAGATGGGCAAAGACACATCACGTCGTGGAGTCACAACACCCTACTCATTATTGGGGAGACTCATACCAGTCAACCTTGTCGTTCCACAATTTTCCATACGGCACTGATTTGCATTCCATGACATGATGCGGAGCATATCTTGAGTACCGGACGCCGATCGGTGTCTCTACCTATCAATCTTGCCCTTTAGATGGAAGGCCTGCTCTGTAGGTAGCATGATGACCCCCGAATGTAGGTTGCTTAACTGACCACCTTCGCCATGTGAAGTCTTGACAGTAGTGAAGGCTTGCCTATCAGCCCCCAACGTTTGCGGTTGCTGTCTACAAGAAAGATAGTAGGTCCCCCTTTGCGAGGGAAGAACAACTTGAAGGAAACTACGGTAGCAAAGGGTGGCCTGGTAAGTGCATCTAGATACATCCGTTGCAGATTCCATTCCTCGCCCGCGACTCCCTTCGTTCAGCCATCCACATCACCCAACATGGCCTAATGCGGATGAAGCAGTTCGTAATGTACGCGGGAGTCCGTCCTTTGCGAACTTGTCAACTAGGTAAGGACAAGCGTTGCCAAAATGTTCGCATACATACGCCCTCCAAACTGTTCTGTAGCTCGTCTGGATGAAAATGGGTCTCGTCTAGGCTTTTTGGGGAAGCAGAATCATCGTCAAGAGTATCTTAGTGTCGTAAAGAGCTCCAAGGCGCTCGTCCTGGCGACAAGGAGCCGTGAGTAGGGCAGAGTCAGAGTGACGTTTGGGGACTTGGAGGAAGTAGAGAGGCGGAGTAGTTTGGAGGGCGGAATAAAAAGCTGCTTAAACTATATAGGCAGTCGTATGCACACCCCTAATGTCTTTGGACACTGGAGGATAAGCTGATGGTTGGCTAAATGGAAATATGCATACTGCTCACACACACAAAGATACTTTTTTTTGGTCAGGGTTTTAAAGTTCGAGTCGAGGTACAGTCATTTTTTACCTTCTTTCTGAATCGCCACCACCACGGATGTGTCAGACACGTCCTCCAGTCCTGAGACGAGCAAGTCTTCCGCTCCATGTCCTCCATCCACATTGAATGCAGACCATCAGCCGCCCGACTGGCGCAATTGGATAGCGCATACGACTTCTACGAGAATCCGGATCCCCGGCAAGGGGATGACATCAGGATGATTGGGGAATTGTGAGGCTGTGGGCTCGACTTCCACGTGGGGCTGGAGATCTTTCTTGTACTGCTTGAGAGTGTGTGTCTGTTTTCCTGGTGTCGATGGTGAGGTGCTGTCTGTCTGTCTGTCATGGAAAGGGGGAGGATGGGGTTGGTGATCGTTTTGCTGTCGTCGTTGTCCTTTTGGAACTGGTAGCTAGTGTCGGGAGGAAAGCGATGCTTCTTACCCTTGTGCTGCCATGTCAATGTTGCCCATCGATCCGATATGCGGTGGTGGTGTTGGTTTTTGCATCTCTGCATTTCCGGCCATTGCCGGTGGGTGTGGGCAAGGCTCTTGTACAGTTCAATGTGCACCACGAAAACACATCAGCTGCCCGACTGGCGCAATTGGCTAGCGCATACGACTTCTATGAGAACTTTTCAAAAAACCTAATCACATGGGATAGGGAAGGGGAGTGGATCGAGACATCGTGAGGTTGTGGGTTCGAGTCCCACGTGGGGCTAATGTGTCTTTTTGCCTCCTTGACGGTCGAAGTATTGTCCGTGTGAAGAAGACTTTCTTTTTGGGGTTGATGACTTCTGGGAGGATTAGTGACATCTGTTCTGGTATTGTTGCTTGCCGTGGGGGATAGGGCATTGGTCTCCCAAGTCCGAGAAGCACCCCTGAATCCAAACCACTCCCTCCACTCCTCTCTCCAAACAGCGACTTCCGCCGATGACGGCAGACTTCTTCGACACAGCCTTCCCACGTCCAAGGGACTAGTAGGCAGAGATGCCAACTACCTTTCGTTCTTCCCCTTCCCCATCGACAAACATACGTCCTTAGGGGACTGTGACGAGTCTCCCCAGCAGCGAAGTAGCTCAGGGATGCTCGAGCTGATACCGGGCAAGTGGTGTATTTGGAGTCGGCGCCGACAGTGGTATGACCGACCAGCTACTCTTCGCTTTCCTTTTTTGCTGTTTTTGTATCCGATGGATAGACGTTCGACCCCCGTTGTCGTCCATGGGAGGGGTTCCCTTTGTCGTGGAAATGAGCAGGCTCTCCCACTTGGACACTGGACGCCGGACACCAGGCATCATGGATTGGATTTGGTGTTTGGTTTTCCCAGCTCTGAAAGAGGGCGATGGCACATCACGCTCCACCTTCCCAGCTTCTCTCCATCGTCCTCGGCAGGAGGGGAGGTGATTTCCTGATCGGTCTGGACGAAGCGTCCTTGCGTCAGAACCCTCCAGGAGGTGTGCTTATATGCGTCCTTTGGGAAAGTGTCTGTCAGTGAAGTAGCTTCACGATGCTTGACCTGATTACGGGCAAGTGGTCGATTTGGGTCGGCGCCGATAGTGGATTGTTTTGACCAGCCACTCTTCGCTTTATTTTGGTAGACCATGACGACAGTCCCAGCACTAGGCAATGTCGACTTTTTTTTCTTTCAGTGTATTTTCCGTAGGACTAGACACGAGTAAATCAGATTCCTGGAAATCTTTTTCGCTACGTATTTGCTTCATCGTCTTGCTTCTATGTACTGGGATATGACGAGGGCGAACCTGTCTTACCCCTGAATCCAACTTGTCTCTTTCCCCTTTCCCTCCCCATGTCCAGGATGGACTCTCTCTCCAACGCTCTATCCATCGCGCCCTGCTCGTGCTATCTATATTCCCATTGTAACTGCAGCCAACAGCGAAGTAGCTTAACGTATGCTCGAGCTGACCGCGGGCAAGTGGTGCATTTGTAGTCGGCGCCGACAGTGGTTGTCCGACCGGCCACTCTTCGCTTCTTTTTGGCCTCCGCCCTTGGTTCAATTCTTGATTACGATACGAGTTTAGGTCTTTGTTTTGCTTTGCATAAACACTTGGGGCATTATTTCCCAGCCTAGTCTCTCCCATACTTGTTTGTGTCGTGTGCAGACTTGGTGCCCCTGAATCCCATCAAAACAAGGTACCTAAGCAAAGACGATGGGGATGACCTTGTTGTCGGCAAAGCACGCAAACCCACAAGTTCTTAGATATGCACTACATCGTCGCTTTTCTACAGGGGCATAGGTAAAATCATACACTTCCTTGGAGACGATGCGTCCAATCCTCACACACCAATCGTCTTTTTGTGATCAAGAGCACAGACTCAGGCTGGCTTCCGTTTCCAGCCCACCCTGGTCTATCTTCCCCCCCAGAGACCGTGGAGGATATCGAAACCAGAATCTTCCCACTCACAGCTTGCCCTGGGTCGTACCCAGCCAGGCATCCCCAGACACATAGCATGCGAAGGGCTCCGGCCCTCCAGCATTATGGAACAGGTCAAAACCGACAGCATACAATGGGACGAGGATGTATGTGCCAACCAGGACAAGAAGCCACCAGCAAAGTAGCTGGCATATGAATGTGGGACCTCAGTATTCGAGGTAGTCGTCTCCTTTCCAAGCCTACTCAGCAGCCAAACTCCGAAACCCGATCGATCCATCCCGTCAGAGAATCCTGACACGACACGGTACACACATCTAAGACATGACATTCTGCTACAGCTACTGCTACGTCGGAGACATCCGGACGGCTGCAGGGTATGACCTGCGGTCGCTGCCCCCCCGTCCCTTATTTTACTTCCCCTTTCATGAGAATGGAACCCACCCCGGGGAGTTTGTCTCTTCAAATCTGGCAGGTCGGTACTCCCTCCATGCTCCCTGCCTGGGTAGATAGGTATCATTGTCTTCGGTCCCGTGGCAGGCTGCACCTATCAACCACCATCAGAGACGGTAGCCCCGTTACACAGCATCTGTACCCGCCGGCAGGCCTCATTCTCTGTTAGAAAGGGGGAGGAATATACCGCACCGCCGCGCCTGTCGCCGGGAAGGGTGAGCTGAGGTTGACGGGGACTTGGGGATGATGATGAGGGCTTTCTTTACCGCTTATTCCTCGAGGTTGGATACTTTTACATAGGTACCGAGGTGAGAAGGTAATTTGGGAGTAAGGATATGCGTTGGATGTAGTCATGTATGCCTGTGTAACCGTCACCGATCGAGGAGGGGTCATGATGCTTGTTGCCGGAGAAACTCCCGTCGCGGCGGTTCAAGCCACTTAGGAACCGAGCTTCTTGGGGATCATCAGAGAACAGAGAGAGAAACCACCTCCTCCCTCCCCCCCTAGTACCACCACGAAAACCCCAATTTGACAAGCCGTCAGCAGTGGTCAGGTTGTGTCCAGAGGAAATCACTCCTCTTCTACCTACGACCACACAGAGAGGGAGGGGCAGTTGGGCAGAACGACGGCCGGGCAGTGTTGCACAAAGGCACCAGGACATGCGTGGCTTCGACGGGTTCCAAATTTGGCTCTTCTTCCCTGCTGGAAAGTCAAGGAGAGAGGGGGAGCAGTCTCGGCACGACTGACTCCTTCGAGCCTGGGGCTGCCGATTGTGCCGGAAGTTCCCATGGCAGGTATTTTCGTTCGGTCCTGGACACCTACACGCTGGCAGCGAGGCAGGAAGCATGCGGGTCGACGAAAGGGGGTTTGTGTGCCAAGACTGACACGACTTCGCCGCCGCGTGTCCTGCACAATGTCTGCAAGTTGGCCAAATGGCCAAATGGCGAGAGACGATCGACTCTGGTGGGCAGGCGCCGAAATCAGATGTGCAGCAGCTGTGTTGTGTGTGCGTCGCATCAGATAAGGGGGGGCGGAAGGAGAGAAGATGACAGAGGAGTATGACGACGATGCGGTCCGAGCTGGTTGTTGGTTGGTAGGCATGTTTGGTGGTTTTTGAGCTGTGCTGTAGTCATGATCATATTCAGACGAACCGATCTCCAGAGCCCTGCTTTGACGTATGGGAAGGCATGAATTTGTCGACCTGAAAATACTCCTTTAGGTTCCAGGGTTGGGTCAGGACCACTTAGACAGTACAGAGGGAAGCCCTCTTCTGTAATTGACTGTCAACATCTTGTCATCGCTTGGGTGACGCAACCGACGGCTTATCTTCCCGAGTACGCGAGATCGGCGAGCTCATTGACAGTCATATAGGCGACGTGGAAGATATCGAAAGCGGCACGGCGGCCAAGCCAGATACGTGAAGCCGGCAACCTGGATGTAGGCAGAACTCGAGGAAACCCGGAGGTTGAGCAATTGGAAGCGGGTGACCGTCATGCTGTTGCTGCGAAATAGGCCGCTGGTACTGGCCGCCGCATATGTAGCTTGCGGCTCCCAGATCCTGCCGTTTCCTTTCTGGGCCCTCCCGTTCTGCCAGAACGAGGACGGCCAGACGGGAGAGATGGGAAGAGTCCGGGATGCAGACGGGACGATAATTAGCCGTTGCCCGCTGGTCTGCGTCTGCTCGTCTGGTGCCATTGACGTCCCGAGCGACATGCAGAGATACGCATTCTGACCCCCTGCAAGCTTGGCATGTCAATGACACTCTTTTTTCTCGATTTCGCTCTTGTTGAAGCCATCGCGTCTTCGTTGCCAAACTGACAGAGACAGGTGTGGTCAAACGGGGACGACGGGGCTGCAGAGGACAGGGGTGAGACGGTGTGACGGTCGAGAGGGCTGACCCTTTAAGCGATCTCGGTGAGGCTCCCTGCCTCACCGACCCGTCATCACCAGTTCCCGGTGCTGTGTACCCGGCGGTGAATCAACTGCAGCGTCAGTTAGCATATCGAAGCACATCCCGTTTCGGTCACATGTCAGACACCGGTGCTGCAGACTCAGGGAAGTCTTGATCCCTCGCCCCAAGCAACTGGTTCTGTTCGGCGACAACCGATGCGAAATGCAGTGTCAAAAACTGAGATGTGACCCTTTTGTTAGTGACCAAGGGATGACGGTCATGGGGTTCCATGCTGTGCAGAGACCCGAGATGGACGGGAGAATATCAGGGTCTCTGTCCGAGGCGTTGGTGGATCTCGTCTCCATTGCATTGGCGGATGGTTGGTCGAACAATTGCTGATGATATGGAAGCGATACGTGCTGGCGGCTCCTTCGCGGGCTGTTAGAGTCATGTATCTCCCTGCCACGCGAACCTGTGGTTAGATGGGCGGCAACTCACGAGGCTTGTTGCATGGTGTGCCGCAAGTGGAGAGCAATATGGTGCCCGGGACGAGCCGCGGGCACTGATCATTGGGGGATGTTATCCGTGTTGACGTTGGGCTCAGCTCTGAAACGCAACCATCACGACTTGCCAGTGACGGGCTTGAAGCCCGCGCAGCTGGTCCTGTGGGACGCTTACCCACCCGTGAGCAGTGAATGGTCGTCATACACCGATTGTTGAGCCAGGCTGCAGAACCAGTTGGACGGGCCGCAGCTCTCCTGCCGCTCACGTGGTACAATAATCCTCTCCAGCAACCCGAAGGGCTCGGAGTCAGACTGAAGCTAGTTGGGTGCCTGACATGCAGGAAATTGAAGATGTTTGCGATCCTCATCACATTCGCAGAACACCAGTATCTTGGGTGGCGGTTGTCGGGGCAACGGTCCAGCTTGTATCCTCTCCAACCTGGCCGTCGTCTTGAGAGAAAGAGAAGAGGGTCGGCCAGAGTGA